CATCATCATCATCATCATCATCATCATCATCATCATCATCATCATCATTATGTTCTTCTTCTTCTTCATTTCTTTCTCGACGCCCTCAGCTTCATGAGGTTGCGTTGACCCCTTGACCTCAGGATGAGGTGGATCTGTACTGAGCTCGATACCACGAATGGTCAGCCAAAAGCTTTCAAGAGCTGCAGTGACAAGTCAGCAGTGGTCTGCTGCGCTCGTTCTATCTGCTGCCCTCGAAGAAAGAGGTGAAGCATCCCCAAATGGGAAAAAACAAGGGCACACGTGTTCATCCATGTTCAAAATCTCAGCACTAAATGGCTGACAGGCGAAAATCCGATTGGGAAGGGCTCGTTTCACGAACTGTTGGAGAAGCTGCTTGGGGCCAGAGCGACGGGTGGTGCTCCTTCATGTGCAGCAGCAAGCTAGGCGGCCGCACGTCACACAGCAGGCAGCGCTTGGTGAGGATGCTGCACAGGGCTGGCCACATCGAGCCGGTCGACCGACGAAATCCAAGCATCAATCCAAGGTGACTTCTGCGAGAAGAGAAGGCATGCTCCAGGTTCCAGGGCATTTGTTCCCTAGTCAGCAGCGCTAGTGAGCCAGCAGCAGAAGGTGAAGGCTCGGGGTCCACCATCTCCGCTCGGGTCCACCATCTCCGCGTCAGCAGCCATAGAATGCACACAGTCCTGAGTACGGCATCGGGCAACACAGAGTGTTTCTCAGGTGGAGCATCATCATCCAGCAACAGCCAATGGGTATCTGTCCAAAGCGCTGTTCTATAGTGGCCTGTATGGGAGTCCAGACCGAGGTGATAGGACAGTGCAATGACCCTGAAGGGGATGTTGTCAACCGCCATGGTGTGATTCAAGAAGTGGGGAACCCATATGGTGGAGGACCAACGAAGGCATTGAGAGCTTTTGTTCCCTTGATTGTTGAATCTATCGACTTGAACACAAATCGATCAGCATGCGTGGTCATTGCTTGGAGCCCTTATGATTCCTGTGGCCAAGCCGTGAACAGATCTTGCAAGTTTGTGACATCACCATTTTTCTCATCGCACAGGTAGAGGTGTACCATGGGAGCCGCAATCCACTGTACGGATGGCTTTATGAGCTTCAACTCTGGCCAGGCTGCTACAGAACTGGGGATCAAGAAGAGGAAGGACATAGTGACATAGTGGAGGAAATCCACAATGTCGAGTTGATCATCCTCCTCCTCCTCCTCCTCCTCCTCCTCATCCTCGTCCTCCTCCTCCTCATCAGCAGCATCATCATCCTCATCCTCGTCCTCCTCCTCCTCCTCCTCATCATCCTCATCCTCGTCCTCCTCCTCCTCCTCATCATCATCAGCATCATCATCATCATCATCATCATCATCAAAGTATGCAAACGTCAGATATCTACAAACAATAGATTTCTGCACCTCTGAAGAAAAATGCATCTCATGAAATCCAGACTTTGATCAAGTGGCCAGGGCACTTGGTCGGAGACCCCAAGCCCACGCCCAGGTCGGGGAAGACCTCCCTGGTCGATCGCTTCATCAACCCAACGAAGGACGAGAAGGCGACCTGGTTTCCTCGCGCGCGCGGCTCCGGTGGCGCTGGCTCTGGATGAGGTTGAGAAATGCAGACGGTGGATGAATGAAACATAATGAAACCTCTTAATATGATTCAATATGAAGATGTGAAACCATTCTGGAGAGGAAGGGCAGAAGGGGAGGTTTGGTTCATCAAGCATGGACGGGCCGGAAGGGATTGCAAGGGTGAAGCCATGTGAAGCCCCAGCGGCAAGAGTTGATACCATTGTTGGAGCTTCAATTCTCCCACACCATGTTGCTGAGGCAAGGAGCTTGGGAGGTATATATACATTTGTGTACGTAATTATTTGGCTAACCAACATACAACAAATACATACTATATATATACGTTTGTGTATGTATGAGTTATATATATATACATGGTGCCTGGACCACCTTCGAAGCTGCAACGGTATTCAACAGTGCAATCGGGTACAGTGGTCCATTGAATTTTTGGAGGGTCCCGGTAGTTACATGGTGCTTCAGTCGGGCAGGTGCTTCAGAGTGTGCACCTAACGCCAGCATCCTAACTCCAAAGGACCCTGCTAACTCCAAAGGACCCTGCATTCATGGACGTCATCGTTTGCACCTTTGGACTCATTTGAGTCTTGAGTTCATGACCTACCGCTTCTGTGGCGTTGCTGCACATGCTCCAAGGACCAACCAAAGCCCACAGTGGCGCTGGCCTCTTTGTTCTGACTCAGGGTTTTTGTGCGTGGGGCATGCTTGCTGGTTGCTTGTGGCCGCAATCAAGTGTAAAGGAAATATATAATATATATACATGTATATATATATATTACCTTTTTGAAGGGCACCAGCCACTCCAAATATGAGCGTCAACTTAACACAGGTCAGATGGTTTCTCGGTGTCTATGTATTTGTCATATGTTCAAAAATGTTCAACTTGGCATCCAGCCATGCCTTGGCGGCTGGGTTTTTAACGAAGATGCTTCCTTTGATTGAATTGGATACTTTTGTCGCATGTTCCAAAGATGCGCAAAGGTCGTGAGACTATGTTGGACTGCACATCTCCACTTGCATGACATCATAAGGGAATACAACCGGTATACACAGATAAGGCCATGTGGCTCCAAACATGACACTTGCCGTGTTTTCGTTTGGGAACAAGTCTCCAACAATTTTGGAGACTACAGGTTGACGCTTCTGTCACCTGCGGCACTTCCTAGCCCTAAGGACTACAAGTTCGCGCGCTACGCGACTGAGGGCACTTCCAAAGTGCCGAATACTTAGAGCTAGTGCAGCGTGTGAGGGATCGGGGAGCTGCCATCAATGATTCTGCTCGACATCCATGATTCTCACAATTTTTTCCTCCACCAGTCCTGCCATGTCCTGCCAGGGTTTGCTAGATTCTTGAGTTTATTGATGTGCGTCTTCGTTTTTTCGCAGAAATCCCATGCAACCCTGGTCCAAGACCGTGGTCGAAGGTTGGCCCATATCTACGACTTGGGTGGTGATGAGGCACTTCTGCAGACTGGGAATTGCCACGTTTGCAGTTTGCAGGACATTTCTTGAGATGTCATGGTCGAGTCGGTAGAGTCCGACCTTTGGTTTCGGATGGGGTTTGGGGTTTGGTGTGTTGCCATTTTCTACATGTTGGTTTTGTTTCAAGATAATTTCGCGAGTTTCTATAGTTCGTGATAGTGTAACTTGCTATCTATCCGCACTTGCATCTCACGTTGACACTTGCCCTCAGACATGGAAGTGGAATCCATCCCAACTCCTCCTTGTGGTCAGCTTCAGTTCCACCATCACTCAACAGAGAATGCTTTTGCTTGTGCTGGAGAGATGTTCAAGAGTATTTTCTTCCACTCGGTGGTGTCAATCTCGCCCTTCTTGTTTTCTCCCAGCACGTCAGTCAGCCAGGCCAACGAGAATCTGATTGGGATCCCCATCTCCACCTCCACTGTGGGCAATATTGTCTTGGCCATCACGCTGCTCGGTTGGGATCGATGCGTTCAGAAATGTGGCACCGAGCGGACAAGGAACAAGGCAAACCACTCAAGCTGTTCTACTTGCTTACCCAGCCCAATTTAATATGACTTAATATGTAATGTCAAATTATATCAGCCACCCTCTTCTACCTCTGCTGGTCCTGGCCGTATTGATTGAAAACTATTGTGTGATTGATGTTGTGAAAAAGTGGCTTTGGACATGTCAATGTTGTAAATGTGTTGGGCAGATATAGACAGTCTATATTTAGAAAAAAAAGCTATAGATATCGATACATATTTCTCAGTACTGCCAAGCCAGGTTGATTAGGCATATTGGTAGCCGTTCCTCCTGTTGACATTGTAAGAAGCATACAAAGCACACACATTTCAATCGAGGTCCTCATATGTCCTTATTCCTCAGGATCGACTGATGTACTCTACATGGGTGTGTATTTCAGAAAGGGAGCTCAAAGACCCGGTGGAAGAAGGAAAATACAGTAGATGGAAAATAGACCAAACACCATTGGTTGGAGTATTTGCTGGGGGAGGGCGGGGAGGGCAGGAGACCAGCCTACCACGTAGGCAATCGCTCGCTCGGGCGAGCGACCCGAGGCTGGATTTGTCGGAGCGCCTTGGTTGGGATTGGGGATGGGCCCAAAAAGGTTCAATCAAATACCTACAGTGGGTGGGGTTCAGAGTAGATGGCACGTTTGGGCCCCCAAGTTTGGTGGACCCCATCTAGAAGTCAATGTGGGGTGCCAGTGCCATCTACTCTGAAACCACTGGTATATATAATATGTTATGTTATACTTTTGGAAAGCACTGGCCAAGTACCTCCAAACACCCCATTTGACGTTTCAGAGCACTTGAAGATCTTTTTCCTGATGGTAGTTTGAGATTACATTCCTTTCCCTGTGCTTTGAGTCAACCAGGGTCGCCATAACCCCTACCAAGGGGCTGGTTTACCGATGTATGTAGGTGCAGGATCTTTCGAAAGGGACCGTTTCTGGGTGATGCTCAAGCCCGTTTTGCACCAACTTGTCACGTATTTGGTGTTCTCCATGTTCTAAACAATTCAGGATTGTGAGTTCGCTTTTTAGTCAGATGGACAAAAGGTGGACCTTGAAAGGAGACAGCATGGTGGTGTGTATTTTGCAAAAAGGATCCTGATCCAAGACCCCATGGTGAAAACAAGTTATTGTAGACCTATATAAGTTTTGCTTTCACTTATAGACATGGTTTGATTGTTTTTAAGAAGCCTCTGGTGAAGGGTTACAAGGGGCTCCGAAATAGTCACCGGCAATTGTTTGAACATTTGTTTTCAATTGTTTTGCAATTGTTCAATTGTTTGGGTAATTGTTTTGCAACTGTTGGAATATTTAAAACAATTGTTTCAACAAATGTTCAATATTATTCAATATATTCAACAATTGTTTCAACAATTGTTCAATATTTCAAACAATTGTTTTGCAATTGTTTTGAATTTGTTGAATATTTGCAACAATTGTTTTGCAATTGTTTTGGAATTGTTGAATATTAGCAACAATTGCTGCGCAATTGTTGTTGAAATTGTTGCTTATGTTCAACATGTTTGTTCGCAAGCAAACCTTTTGAACATACTGAACATGCAAGTTAGTAATGGTCGGTTTAACATGCATCACATCGATGGCTGGGGCTGCTATATAACAGCAACAAAAAACATGCATCACATCGATAGCTGCCTCCATCCTTAGCCTTTTCACATGTTGTGATAACACCTGGTTCACTTTCCTCCATCAATCCTTTGGTTCAAGATGGCCCCCACAATTGGCGAAAGAGTTTCGCTTCCATGTTGAATGGGTGGGGGCGATGCTGAGCTTACATGATTTGGCAGGGATTGCGCTTGGTGGCCAGCAGCCTGCTAGGGCCGGTCTTAGACCTGGTGCTGGTGGACGTGGCCGCCTTGGGCGTGGTGTTGGAGTTGGTGGCCGCCTTGGGCGTGGTGTTTGCCTGGGGCGTGGCGGCCGTGGCTTGGCCAATGCTTTCAGGGCAAGAGCTAGGCAGATGAATGCAAGGAGAAGCCGGGTCAGTTTCTTGAGGAAAAAAAGAAAAGAGCACAGGGCAGACACATTCAGGCTGCAGGCTCAAGCGTCCAATGCGTCAGGGCGCCATAGAACCCTAGATCATTTGCTTCCTTTGCAGCCTGCTGATGAAGCCAGGCCCAAACCAAAAGGTCGAGGCGCTTGGAAGCAGTGGACGCCTGAGGCTATTTTGAGGGCCGCCTTTGGCGAGGCTACTGCAACAGTAAGGCAAGCAGCAAGGGAAGTTGATGGGGCAAGTGCTGCCCATGTGATCAAAGCCCGCATGTTCATTGGCAAGTGCCTCCTTGATTGTCAAGCCAAGCATATCCAATCAGAGATAAACCGGCTGCGTGAAAGAGGTTTGCTGCTGTATCACATAGTGAACCTGATGTTCGACGAGACAGAGCTGGATGTTTCTTTGAAACAAGTTGGGTCTGCAAGCTGGTCAGTCTTGGCAAGCCACAGCCAACTTAGCATCTGCGCTGCAGGCCAGAATGTGGAGATTGACATAGCAAGGCCGCCAAGGGCTCTACCTCGTAAAACGGCTGAGTGCATGTGGGGCGCGCTGTGCCTGGACCAAGGCGGCCTTGGGCCTGGTTTCATTGGGTCTCCAGCAAAGTTCTCTGCTGTGCTGGTGTCGTGTGACCAGCATGCAGCCAACATACGGCTGCTCAAACACTTGCATGCAGTGATGCCGCAGAACTCCTTCATATTTCCCAGCCTGTGCGCCCAGCATCGAAATGGAAATGTAATTGAAAGGGCAACCAAACATCTAGGCATATTGCCAGGTTCATTTTGCGTGTCCAAGAGCACCCGCCGAGGGAAGTTTCTGCAAGACCTCACAAAAGCAGTTGAAAAAGTCTTGTCTGAAAACCTGGTGATCATGGACGCAGAGCCTCCTGGTTTGCAAGCTGAATGGGCAGCCGCCCGCAGGCAGGCAAAAGAGTTTTTGAATACAATGCTGCAGTGCGAAGACGAGAAGGCCGTTGCTAAGCGGTCTCGGACCAGGTTCGTTGACGACTTTGTTGCTTTCTTCCCTGGCCCCTGGAGAGGACAGCTTGGGCAGAGCAGGGCTGGGGGGGACTGTTGGTGACAAGGGGTTTGTAATTTTTCTTTAAACAGAATAATTGCAGCCAAGGTCCAGGTAAAGGCGGCTAAGGCACATGTAGTTAGTTCTAGTTGGCCTTACCTTAACTTTACCGTAACTCACTTTCCTGGGCTGCGCAACTTGTTCGCTAAAGACCAGCAAGCCGTTTGCTTGGAAGCAACTGTTTTGCGCCGGCCTCTTTTGGCTCAAAGTGTTTCAGAGCTCAACGTTTCCCACGATCGACTGAGCGCAACCTTCAGCAATGGTCCTGTCCAAGGAGTTGGGTCAGAACAGGACACTGGCAAGTTTGAATGCGCATGGGCTTGGAACAGCGTACTTGCCTTTGGATGCACGGGCTAAGGTGTTCCACGGCCTTAGGCCTGGTTCCAGCATGACAGACGCCATTGTGGCTGGTGTGCTGTCAGAGTTGGACCAGTTCCTGGTTGTGGACGACTACGGTTCTGTGGAATGCGTGAAGTATGCCCGGCAAGAATACAACAAGAGGCATCCTATGACCTTGGTCTGCGAGACAGTTACCAATGGCAGGCTTTGGCTTGGGGGGGAGAAGGCTGTCCACGACTCAGTGCTCCTCTCTGAGAACGAGGTGGGGTATGTTTGGCCTGCCTGCAAGTCTGCAATGCCTCAGAGTCCAAATGTATATGTCTTGGACACTGTGGATGGCACTGGCGCTGCGCATGGGGATGTTCCTTGGGACCGAGTCATGAACATCGTCGATGAGATCATCAAGCTGCTGTTGGAAAGTCTGTCCTCATAGCGTGCCACAACGGCGCACACCGTTCGGCAACCTTGACGTGCCTGGTGCTGATGCGCCTTTTAGGCTGGTCAGCCGCAGAAGCTGCTGCGTTCCTCACTACAATGAGGAACATTGTGGACCTCAACAGCCGCGCTCCGCCTTCAAGAGGGCGAGTGGCAACAGTTCGCCCTATCGATTTTTTGGAATCTGTGGAGGGAAAAGTTCATGTGAGTCACCCAGCTGCTTCCAAGGTGGCCCTAGGCTTTGTCCCACTGAGGCGCAAGGCCATTGAGGCAGGCTTTGTAGCTGCATTTCCTGTGGGCAAGGCTTCCAAGCCTCCTCTTCTTTACAGAAGCGACCGACAGTCATCCTCTTCTGAAGCAGAAAGCCTGCTGCTTCCTCAGCAGTTTCAATTGACAGAGGCTGAGGCCAGCGACACTGGCGCTTCCTTCTACCATGTGCCCCACCCCCCTGAAGGCTTTGACAAAGGCACCTGGCATTTTCTTGAGACCCCTGTGTCCACACCTGGTGGCAGCAGCAACCATGGCGAGACCTCTGACCTCCGAAGACGCAAGCTCCGCCTGCTGGTCCAAGATTTAACTGCTTTGCAACGCAAATTGGAAGGCCACGTTGATGCAGCAGGCGGCTTTGAGCCAGGTGTCACACTGAAAGACGCCTCTGGCGAAGTTGGTGCAGTTGTTGTTGGGTCTGACCTGACTTTGCTAGCTGCGCCTTCGGCGGCGTCTGGCAGTGTGCCTGAGCCACTGCATCCACCTGGGTATGTGTCTGGCAGTGTGCCTGAGCCAATGCATCCACCTGGGTATGCAGATGGAAGCAAAAAGCGCCCAGCAGAGCCCAGCAAGGACAAGCAGCCTCACTTGAAAACTGCAAAGGATGAGACAAAGGAGGAGGCAAACAAGGACAAGGAGGAGGAGGAGGAGGAGGAGGAGAAGAAGGCAGCTCCCGCTGCGGCTGCTCCTGTGCCGGCGTCAAGTCCTCGAGGTACTGGTGGAGAACTTGTGAAGGAAGAGCCCCAAGAATCCCAAGAAGCGCCTGAAGGTCCGGCCGGTGCTGCCAACCAAGACAATCCGATGGAGGTCGACTTTGGCGGCGACGATGATGATGATGATG